AAACTATAAATTTACGCGCGCGACGTAATGTCTGCTCGACGAATTTGTCCGACTTCGTTGTATCGAATTGCACTTTATCTAAAGAAACGTACATCGAGCGATAAAAAGTTAACCGTTAACACTTTTGCGTCCGAGCTTCGAAATGCGGCGAACGAAAATTGTTTGGAAACAAAAAAAAATGCATCGGCCGAATGAGTGACAATTATACAACGCTACTTTCTGAAATCTCCCGCGAATGGATGCTGTTCAACGTAAAGGCAACTACGAACATACGGTATACGTGGTGCAACGACCGGCTTTATAACCAATGGGAGCTAAATAATGATAAAATGCGGAAGGCTAGCTAGTAAAAATGCAACAGCTCGTCTAACAACTACGAGAACTAACACCATTGGTTATATTTATATGTATGTACGTGTCATTGGCACATACGCGGTGTCGGAAAAGCGCGCGCACCGAGCACCTTGAGATACTAACTGCGCTCTGCGTCGAGGATGTCATCCGTTTTATCTTTCAATCAATGCCGACAGCACCGTTAACTGTTCTCTTTCTTTCTTTTTTTCCATAGCGATCGCCACGCCAATTACTTTTTCGTTAAAATAAATCTGTAAACCACATTTACAATTATTTATTACGTTACGGCGAGAGACTCGGAGGAGACTCCCGGTTCGCGCTCTTTTCCCACCTTGGCTTCAAAGTATCTCTTTTTCCAAAATGCTGCACTTCATTAGGGATGCCACATTCCATTTACATTGACGAAGCTTTCGAGAAAAGGTCTCTCTCACAGAATCACACACTATCACTCACTCACTTGTTTTATCGCTAGTGGCACGTTGCTTTTGCAGCATGCAAGAGACATTCTCTCTCTCTCTCTCTCTCTCTCTTGGTTTTTTTTTAATTCCATCGATAATGAAAAGCGTTAGTGTTGAATCGACTATCGGACGCGTGAAATCGTCGTTTCACGTGCATTCTACAAAAGCAATGTGACGAATGAAAAATTTATGCCAGAGTGCGTGACGGGATCTTCTCGTTTTGAAAGCCGTACATTCAATCTGCAAACTGTACAACACAAAGGAAAGAGCGACCGTCGATCCTTTTAGATTGAGGTATTGATTTTCGAAAAACGAACTTTCTCTCGTAATACAATTACCGTGTATCGTAAATTTGGCGACATCTTTCATTAAAACGTTTCACAGACGCGAATAACTAAACACGATACCAAAAAATATTTCGGAATAGACTGCAGATGCTTTCAGGCGACAACAATAAAACGTTTCGCGACGAAGTCTGCGAAATCCTTTCGAAAGTGTTCATCTGTCAAGCTGGTAAAAAATTTTCATGAAAAGTACGACGCAATGTTTCGAGTACAATAGTCATATTGCGAGAAAAAGTTCGTTTGCTTTCGATGCGTTACCAAGACCTCGAAGCTTCGGATTAATAATTATTCGCTCGTCCGCTGATAGCGTGCCGCTTAAGTATCAGATCCTGTCACGCCTTCGGAAACGCTTAAGCGCTAAAAGCGATGGCGACACTTGTGCCGTTCGTAGTAAATTCCGCGTGTGCTTCGCTCCCGCGGCGCCGCGTCGGCCCCGCGAGAGGCATTTGCATTGCAAAGGGCAAGACGATAGTGCCATTGTCGACCTGATACCGATAGCAGGATTTCTAGCGTAACGCGTTACGCGTTACCCACCCAGCACGCCAAATTGTCCGCTCGCGGAAATAGTCGGCGCGACTAGCGGCAATTACGAGGCGGTACGTCACACGTCGTCAATATCGCCGCTGAGATTACAGGCCGCTTTATCGCTACGCTTTTTACAGCAGGCGCGGTTTGACGTGTACGCGTTAATCCGTTTAAGAATCTCGCGCAGCTCGTGTCTTATTCCTATGCAAATGTCGGATTATGCGTGGCGAGACGGCGGGTAGAGGCAGAGAGAAAAGCAAGAGTGACAAAAACCAGACCGGATTATACCGCGTGTGGACTACATTATTACCGGTGCCGGCGGCAAGTCACGTGAGCACCGGGAATGAGTAACAAATTGACCGTAATACGGCAACGAAATATTAGCTGTGTCGGGCTCGAGTGCCCGACCGTGTTCCCTTATCATAGCATTTTCTTTCTTTCTCATGCGCTCCCGATTAAGCTGCGCTTTCACGCGAACCGATCCGCGCCGATTAAGCCGCAGCGCGAGCGAGGCAAAAATAAAAAGTGCCCGCGACGCCGGGTCTCGCGGCTCGACGGCCCCGCGCGCGCCGAACGTGTTAGACGCCGCTAATTGCAGGTCGCGCGAGAGTTTAATTAGTTCTGTCGCCGTCGACGCGTCCCGCCCTCCGCAAACTGGAAGTAGCCCATTTCGCGTTCTATATCACGGCCCCGTGATTGGTCGTTACAAGTACGGATGCGCAACGACATCGACTTCCTGTCTGTGCAGCCCGTCACGAGCCAGACGAGCCGGATTTCAACCATAATCGTCTAATCGACGGCAAATATGTGCAATTGCGGCTTCTTACGCTCTCGATCTGGCGTCATTCTAATATTTACGTGTCGGCGAAACCACCGCAGAATCGTCCAATCGATTTCGGATAGATGCATTCACCGATGAACAATTCAACGCCGAAATATCACTTTTATCCTCGGCAAACGTTGACAAACTCTCATCAATTGATTACCGAGCGCGGTAATTGGCAAACGATACTCGCGTTAATGAGAAAATCGATGTCACAGATCTTAAAATAGTAACAATGCCGGCTTCGTTGGGAAAAGTCGATCGCGGGGGGAAAGAGAAAAGGCGGAATACGTTTCCGCTAAAAAGTATAATAGCGATTCGCGTGACTTTGCTGCTCTCGTTGCGAAGGGAGTGACATCGATGACGAAAACATTATCGACAAAATGTAATACGAGGCTAAAGATATTCCGAGAACTCGCGAGATCGAAGCGATCGAGACCGCGCGACGAGGCTCGTTTCTCGCGATACTCCTGCACAAAGTTGCTTGAACTTTGCACTTTAACTAGCCGGAAGTATCGTGTGCAAATGTTTGCTTTGAAAGCATTTTTTACAGACCTCCTTCCACGCAATTCTCGTAAGTGAAACAATAACTTTCGACAAATGCATCCGCGGTTTAGTTTCAAATAGACTTGAAAACAACAGGAACGAAATTGATATTTGCGAATCGGAGACAACGATTTCGCGACGGTCTGTGAAGGGCATCGCCTCCTCGATTTTCGCCGAAAACACGACGCGAAGATTTCTCTCCCGAGACGTTAAGGATTAACCGAAGAAGTTCAGGAACTGTCGAAGAAACACTCGGGTACGCTCTACTTCGGATGCAAAGGAAGACGTCGGTTTAAAACGGCCGTAAAAAGTTGGACTTTTAACCAGACTCGTACACGTCGACAAAAGACAATTAACGATATCATTCACGAGTCGGAAGGTGACGCTTTTCTGGAGGTAGTTTAGACGTCAAGGGGGCGTTGAGACACTTGAAAAATTTGACGGGCGATGACGTTAAAAGTGAGACGTAACAGGTCGGGCACATGAGCGCGGCTCGAGACGCGACCTCGTGCATCTAATCAGAGGTAGGTCGCCACACGTGACGTCGACAGACGTCGCCGGGATACTGGGTTACCGGTGCGACTTGATGAAGTGCACTTGAGTGTACTGAACGCGACAGAGCTGAATATGCACACCGTCCGGCTCGCCGGATGCCGGCTGTCGGCACGATGTATTACTGCGGATCTTATCCCGACCTCCGTTGTCATCCATATTGAAAGCAATTTGCATTACAAACCCGTATATAACGCGAGAGCGTTACCTTTTTCTTACAAATCCCCCGGCGCCGTTTGCATAAACGGCCGACAATCGCGGCTGCAATCTCGCACGACGCTTTCCGACTTCCGTCGCGAATCGATAGTTGCCTCCCGCGGCTTCCCGTAAGGAAATACAGATTGGAGATTCGGCTTCGGTAACGAAAATAGCCGATAGATCGAAATAACAGACTCGCCCGAAAATGAAATACGGGAAAATAATGTCGCGGTCGATTCCGTTGTTTCGATTCGGCCAAGTTTTTGGCGCCTCGCATACCGCGGGCCGAAGTTACAAGAAAACAATCCAAATCGGATTTAGAGCGACCTGGTTACTCGTAAACATTTTCTTGTCCGGCGGTTCGTGTCACAGTCGAGAATTATGTAATACCTGCTGTATAAAGATGGAAAATCGATAACCGACAATGGCACTTCGTACTCGGTGAATTTTTTTTAACCGAGATCACCGCGAGCTTGCAACGGAATGTCGCCATCGCGCTGCAAAGAAACGTGTACACGCGGTACGGTTGCAGCAGCACGTTGCGGCAGCACGTTCTTGTACTCTCATCAAGGAATATCGCTGTTTTTCCGGTATGTAATATTAGTTCTTCGGCCTCCCCTCCTCGTATCGGGGATACGTATATATAGGATATATATGTATACCGTGGACCGCTATTCGTGATGCTGCATCCGTTAACAAGATCATTACGATCCCCGCGACATTCTCGCATCCGTAACGTTCGTCGGCGTTCTCCAGAAAACTTTTCCAATAAATGAACGGGAGAAACTGCCACGTGTACGCGATAGAAAAATCGAGTCACGTGCGCGGCACCAGCTTTCGTGGTGTCGCCGATGGCGAGCCCGGGAAAAAGAGATGAATGGGCGGAATAACATCGTGCGCGCGATAAACATTTGGGAAATACAATTGTTGCGGGAGCACGTAATACAAAAATATCTCCAGTTATTTTTCAAATTATTATCAATAACGCGAAATATTTAAGAAAACAAATATTTTGTCGAAACTTCACGCGGACACGTATGGATCAATTAACATACGAGCTTCAACAGAGAAAACACGAAAAAAATATTTAGTTCTGGATGCGAGAATTTCGCTTGGGCACGACATTATCTTAAAACTAGCGGTATTATCGGGGGTGGGTTGACAGGGGTGGCTCGCAGCCTAAGGGCGACGTGAGCTTACCTTGCTTCCCCTTTCGTTAAATATAATTTCCACGTCAAGGATTGGCCCAAATTGCTGAAAAGAAAAAATATTCACCAAATTCAGAATAATCAAGCACGTGTGCGACGTTAATCACGTAATATAAAAATACCATGTAACAGCGTAATTTAAAGATCATACACATTAATTTTGCAATAAAAATTATATAATAGGATTTTGTACAAAAACGTTAATCTGAGAAACTGAAGAAAAGAGAACTAATAAGAATTCTTTGATATCGCCAGCGATAATTAACAACGCCAGTGTTTTCTCGACCATACCTGGCATTTTTTTAAATAATACATTGGTCGAATTGGCGAGACGCCCGCCTAGAGTGTAGCGAGGTCCAGGTTCAAACCCTGGCTGAGGTAATATTTTTCGCAATATATTTTCTGTATTATTAAAAAAATGCCAGGTATGGTCAAGAAAACACTGGCGTTGTTAAATCGTATAGATTGTGCACATCGAAACGAAAGGATGTACGTTTAAAAAAATTCTATTATTTCTTCTACACAATTTGCCACAAAAATATCCATTTCTTATTAAGGTAAATGATATAGCAGGGGTAATAGTGTATCGTATATGTATCATCCGTCTTGCCCGCGTCGCGATAAAAAGGGGCGAGCAATCTGCCATCGACGAAAGCAAATACGAAGACGTCGAAATGAAACGAGGGCAAACGAGCAGGGTGAAAGAAATTGTACGACTTACCCCGAACATTGCCCTGAGGTCAGGGTCTCGGAAGCGAAAAGGTATGTTGCTGACATGTAAACGTTTTGGTTGACCTTTGAGGTCGGTGCCTTGTGTCGCTGTTGCGGGTGTCGTCGCGCCTGAGGTGACAGGTGCCAACGCAGCAGCCTCCACTCCGCCTTCGGGGTTGGTCTCGCTCCCGCCGCCCGGTGTTGGTGCGGGTTGCTGGCCACCACCACCCGCGGCTGCAGCCGCCGCTGCTACCACAGCTGCCTGGAACACCTCCGACTGTCGTCGGAAAGCGAAAAAACAATGTTAGACCTTGTTGCGCTGATAAGGCGACGAAACCGCAAGATCCGGCTTGCTGGTCAAAGCGCTAGCAAAAAGTATTTCCGTTTAAACCTCGCGTGAGAGTCCTCGTCGAGAGGCTCGGTGAGAAGTAGACTGTTAGAAAAATGAAAAAGATCGAGATCGGTGTTTAAAATATTTACTGCGGGACGAAGACGAAAGGTAGATGGGACGTAACTAATGCGCGACGGCAGGAGGATCGATGAGAAGAAAGAACTGACGGGACTAATAAAGGGCGCAAACAATTCGGTGACGCGGCTGCAAACTTTAGTTCGCCATACTTTGGCGTGTGTAGTAGAGTTACTGTAATGTACGCCGACATAATATGCGCCGGCAACATGGTAGACGATGCAAAGCGAAGTAATGATGCGCTCGCGGGATGTGATGAAACATTTCTTCATTTATGGTAAACAACTGCGCACACGGTGTAATTAGCGAAGCGGAAAAATTTGTTTGAGATATTCTCTAGAAAGTATTAGCGGCATTAATTTCGCATGTGATATTGCTATTAATATAACGACGTAGCGGTAATTAGTATCAACGCGTAACGAGCACCGTTTACGTCGTTCCGTGACTTGAAATTAAATTCGAACTGATGAAATACATTATTAAAACGTCAAAATATATAATTCCACATGCGTCGCATGTAGACGTAATCTCTATCGTATGTATTTAGGGAAAGAGAAAATTCTACTATCTTCTTACTCGATGCAACGAATACATAATGCATAATGTTACCATTGCGTGGTACTATGACTGATTATATCGATGAAATGGTAAATCACCGCCAACTGTGTCGCGTTAACAATTCTCCTTCGCCGACACAATAATAAATTATGCAGTAATGCTGATATTCTCTCACTAAAATTGTGAAACTTTTACAAAGTGGAAATTACACATGCGCCGTTTCATGCGAAGCTAAAATCCGGATAAAATAATGTGTTTACATTTATTAATTAAAATCGTTCATTTAAAACATTTTCGTGTACCGTTTCTCGCGCGCGTGCATTTGGTGTAATCGAGGCGCCTAAGATACAAAATTACTGCTGAAGTACACCCAATCTCGAATGGGTTGTAAACAATGATTTATGCTGTACTTGTACGCGGCTGCTATACAACATAAGCCAGGGATATGATCGTTTCGTATTAAGTCAGCAACTCGCGGAAGCTGCAAGTGGTAATATCTGAAAGTGGTCAGCCAAATGGCCGACCTTATCATGCCTGCACTACTAACGGCCGGCAAGTGAATGCGCACTGCGCGCGGTCAGACGCAGCTGCTACTTCGGGTAAATTGCGAAATATTGGGAATGTGCAAAGCCGCTATTTTACCAGTGGTCCATTTGTTATCAGCGCGTAAACTTGCGCAATTACAAAAGTAATGGAAACAAGCAAACAAATTTCTTTTTTCTTTAAATAAATCGCACGAATTCATTTTCACGCAGTTTCTCGAAAACTCGCCTCGTAATGCCAATTTTCAATAATTATATGATTGCGCCGCATATATTTTATTATTAACCAATTAAGTTTCCTTCATCAAAAAATTATATACTCTCCGCGTAATAATTTATTAAGTATATTTATTTTGCTTTCATAATTCTCTCTCTCTTGCGCGCGCGCGCGCTATTAATTACTGTAATACCCTAGATCGAATATTATTGCTCATTATGCATCGACAGCGCATCACTACCGGATTACAAGTCACGACGAGAGCGCGTCAATATACTGCCGGGCGCACTTTTATGACGTTGGCGAAAGCTTGTTTCGCGGGAGATTGAAACTTTTTTTTCTGCCCCAATCTACGCGTACAAAAGAGGCGAGTGCGGCCTTTCTGACGCGGTAGCGGGCGGAAATTTAACAGAGTGGAAAGCAGAACGAGCCACCAACCCTCGTACGACATAAACCGTCCACGAATATATTCCCCCCAGTACGTCCTTTTAGCGTACGCCACCAGCGATTATTTACGAAAAAAATTTCGACAATTTCTTTTTCCATTTATCTTTTTCATTCTCTGTTGAGCACTTTCATTATCTTTTTATTCCGCAACACCTTTCGTTCGTTGAAAAAAAAAGATGTAGTAAAACAATTATAAAACAATAATTACTTTACTTGTTAGTCATTAAATGTATAATTTATATGTGCCGTTGCAATTCATGTAATAATATTTTATTACTCAACTATTATGCTATTACGATTTTAATTCTAAGCACGAACGCGTTAATTATTCAATCACAAGCTCTTATATCTTTCACTCATTATTTATTGTATCTATCTAAAACAATTCTCATTCCTATTCTATGGAATAAAGACTAAAGAGCCGTGACAGGATGTTAGTGTCTAAATAATTGCGAAAAATATTACCCCTCAGCCAGGGTTTTTTTTAATAAATTTAAAATAAGAATTATTTAGACACTAACATCCTGTCACGACTCTTTAGTCCTCATTCCTTCGAATTTGTGCTCATCACACGAGAGCCTTATGAATTTTATTAATTTTTCATTCCTCTATTTTCTTGAATTATTATTCCATTAATTAATAGGAAAACCTTCGCAATAATTGTTGACAGGAATTTGCCAAGCAAGCATGTAAACAATCGTCTATAATCATAAAAAGAATTGATTCTAGTTTCTCCTAACAAGATATTTCGCGTGACGTATCAAAGGAAATGAGACCGTCACTCTTCACTTTCTGTCGCTTCGCAATTGGCGGAGCTAACCGCTCCAATTTAACGAAATTATTCCGATTTGACGAGCGACGCTCGTAGCACGAATTAATCGAAATTGCGTCGGCATATTTCCTCTCTTGACTTTGCGGATATTGGTGCCAGATATTTGAGAGCAGTATGTTCTTCCCAAGACTTCGATGTATTCGTGCAAAAGCGAAAAGCACGACGATTGCGTTGCCACGATGGTATTTCCTCCGTTAATTTCATTCCTCGTTTTGGAGCCGTAGACCGTGACTCGACAAAATTTAAGACACTCGACAAAAGATGTAAATAGAAACGGGAGAGATTTATAAAATAATAGAAATTAAAAAATATTTTGCACCTTATTCGAGTACAATGTATTATACTCCGTTGTACTAATTATACTGTTAAGAGAAACGTCATTTATTTATTGCACTTACAATTAGAGGAATTTAATCGCAACAATGGACGGGGATTAGTCATGATTTATTATAAGAACAAAGAAAGCTCAAGTTGCGAAGGATCGTTATTTTGGTCCAATGTTTGTAACAGTTTCCATTCGTTTACGAAATTTACCTACGCGTCTTTGATAAATAAATTTTTGTTTATCAACTTCCATTCTTTCTTTTAATTTGCGACTAAGATCTCGGGCCTAAATTAGGCAAATCTCGCCGTGGAACTGGCAAATTGAATTTTTTTCAAGCCCCGTCCGTATCTCATCGAGGAGTCTCCCGAGTCATCCTCGTTAAGCTGCGCTTCTATTCGTCCCGAGAATCGGCATCCAAACGAACTGCTTGATATTCCGACAACGTGCACCGTCCACGGCGGAGATGCGCGAAGTACACTCGGATGCCAATTGATGCGAACATTTATTCCCGCAACTTTCGGTACAGCATCGCTCGCTTGCTTCGGGCGAACGGCTGACAAGTTTACCACAACGGCGAAACCGTTGAACAAATTCAAGCGATACGTGCTCTACGGGGAATTCGCGTTGACGAAAGTATAATATTTTGTTCGTAACTTCCTCTGCTTTGATGCAATTTCGGCGCGGCGGAAACAAAAGACTTATTTATCAGCGAAAATACAAGCGGGAAGTGTAATGAAATATTATTCAAATATAAATGTAAATGAAAGGACAGGGGGAGACGATTGTTAGCATAATTGCTAAGCGATAACAACATCCATAATTTATTTCGTCTTTCGCAATCTAGGAGAGAGAGAGAGAGAGAGAGAGAGAGAGAGAGAGAGAGAGGAGGAGGAGGAGGCTTTAAAAATGCCATCTTTGCGTCCCCAATCGGATCGTTTCATAATTCATCTTTCGCGAAAACAAGTCACTTGACAAAAGCTCCAAATAATAAAAAAATTGTATATGCAATTGTGATGCATACATTGACTCTATTATCCGCCCTGTGCGCACTAATTAATGTCAATTCCTGTTTCTTCGCGACATTGTATAGATAATTATCGTATTATTTTTTAAGGTTGATAAAAGTTACATTAAGGGGTCATTCCACTTTAACGACCCAAAAACCATGCTTATCCTTAACAATTTATTTCACAGTAAATACACCATACAATTGTATTCGTTAACGAAATCAATCTTTTTGGGATTTATCAGGGCACTCTTAAATAACACGAAAAAGTTTTTGTCATAAGTTAAACAATTTTTTAATTAAACGTTTTCTATACCGTTTGAATAGCGTGTCAAAAAAGATGCGAGTTATTTTTAAATAAAAATTCTTAACTGAGGTCCCGGACACAGCGACACTCATATAGATTAAGAATCTTTTTGATTTTTTGTTTCACGTAAGCCTGAATGATAAAAGAACTTGCATCTTTTTTGACACGCCATTCGGACGGAGGGCCCTAATAAATCCCTAAAAGATTTATTTTTTTGTACGGTGTATTTACTGTGAAAAAATTGTTAAAGATAAGCATAGTTTTCAGGCTGTTAAAGTCAAATGACCCCTTAAGAACGTTCGAGCGTCGGAAAATATGACAAACGAGATAAATCTTTATCACAGTCCCTCATATCGTATATGTGGCATGCGTTTTCTATATATGGGATAAACTTTGCGCAAATCAGATTAGGCGCGCACAAAATCACGGCACGAAGGAACGCGCGCGTGAAGTTACGCGAGATAAATCCGACAAATTATGCAAACCGCGGAAGACGGATAATGTCATCAAGCGGGGAAACGCTCGCAAATTCTGTACTGTTCGAGAAGCTTTTAGTCCGGCATGAATAATAGAGACG